TCTGTCTTCAGTCTCTTTTGAGTGGTTTTGCCTGCTTTCAATTGAATTTTTAATTTCCTGGATCTCTCTTTGAATGTTTCGTGCATTGTTAATTCCTTTCTACGTTCATTCAAAGTTTCCATCATTTTCCTGTGCTCCTCTTTTTTTCTGTCTTCTTTAGATCTGCTGAACAATTCTTTCAGTATGTTTGTGATTTCTTCTTTTACTTGAGACATTACTTCTGATTTGACTGCTTTTACAATCTCACGAAGTTGTTTCCTTATTTCAGTTACTAATCTCTTAGAGATTTCACGTGTGTGACTTCCATTTTCTTCCATGACTGTATTTCCCAGACTTATTCTATATGGGCTAGAAGTCTGAGTTTGCCTTTTGCTCCTTTCTCTTGACATTCTCCTGGGTTCCTCCCAACAAACTCCCTGTGGGGCCCCAGGCACTTCCCACATTGGCTACCCCTAGGCAGTGTAGGGGGATGGGACAGGCACCTGGGTTTCTCTAATTCCAGATTTACAAGGAGATAGCAGGGCGTGGAGCAGGCTTCTCCAGACCTGTGCAGCTACACTGTGGCTTCACTGATGATCAGGGATGGAGGCATGGAGGTGGGGCTGCTTCTCTCAGCCTGTGTGTCTACACTGGGACTTCCACGATGGTGGCAGACACACAGAGTTTTGTTTGTCTGATTCTGTTAGTGGGTGATGGCTGCCTGAGGGAACCAAGGGCCTCCAATGGGGGCCTACGGATGCACAGGGCTTACCTGGCTGTGTGTTCCTATTCCTGCTGGCTGCCTGCAGGAAGGAGCCTTCCTGTGGCAGCTCCCTTAAGATGAAGGTGGATCTGCTGGTTCTCTCTGCTCACGCTGGCTGCCTGCAGGATGTGGCCTTTGGCAGCTGTGCGCAGCAGGCAGAGGTGGATCTGTCTGTCTCCTTTGGCCTGCAAGAAAGGGCCTTCCAGTGGTGGTGCCCGGCAGGCAAGAGGCAGATCTTCTGGCTCTCTCTCTCTCTCTTCTATTCTTCATTGGTTTAAATGACAAATTTTATGCCCATTTGAATCTCATTAGTTTTCTTTCTGGGGGATTTTAGGAGCTATCTTATTATCTTTTGAAATGTCACACTGATGTTAGGAATGTGGTGACTCAATCTACAATAAAGTTTTAGAAACAATGTATCTCATTACTTACTAATGGAAACTTTAATTTTGAAAGGATTAGAATTAATGTCAACACATTTAAACACATGAGGCTTTTACCAATGAAGAAAAAAGCCTTTACAATGATTTTAAGCATTCAACCAACTATTTTTCCAGTATTATAAAACTAATTTCTCATGGGGGAGATGGAGAAAACTACCTAAGGTAGGCCTAACTTACAGTTAACTGTCTTTTAAATTAGTCTTATTACCCTCTTGTGAATCCGTTCAGGCCTTTAAAATCTATTTTTTTCTTCTTCCATTCTTTGTCTGCCTTTACTCCTCTATTCCTTATGATGTACCTAGAAGGGAGACAAAGTACAAACCAAATTTGTCTCTTTTGGTACCTGGCTGAAAGGGACCAGGCAAGAAGATACGGCAGAATCATTTAATAAGGTGAAGGCAAAATTACCTGAGGTATTCATATTCATATTGGCTGGAGTTCTAGCTGTAAGTTCTACCAATCCTCACACTACATTTTTCCAAGGCTGCCATCTGGTTAGTCATGAAGGTTGCAGGCCTTCCTGCATCAGTCAGAAGTGGTGAGCAAGCTACTGAAACTCCGAGCTTTGGTTTCCGTTTCTGTAGAGTAAGTCTGTGGATAAGGTCTGAGTTAGTGTGTGTAAAATACTTAGTGTATTTCCCATAGTGAATTCCTTCAAAATAGTATTTGTAGTTGGTTTTATTATTTATGGAAAAAGAATGGGCTTTCCTAGAATCTTATGGTAAACCACACACACACACACACACACACACACACACACACACACACACACGCACACTTAAGGCCACAAAAGCTTTTGATAACAAAAACATCATAAATTACTGAGGTCATGTTTTATGCTAACTACCGTTTTAGACACTACATAAATTAGTCCTGACCATTAGTATTCCCCAGCCTGTAAGAAAACTGGTATCATCCTCATCTATCTATGAAGAAATTGAGGCCAAAGTGGTAGTGCTGGTGAAGAATAAAACTGAAATCTGACTCCAAAGATTATGCACATTCTTTTTAGCATTCTCAAAGTGTAAAGCATCTAAGAGGACTGAAAATAGGATTGGCTAGAATCTTTAGACATGTAGTGAATACTTTGGGAGGAAAATAAGACAGCAGGGGAACAGTAATATTTAAAGAAAGTTTTTTGTTTGTCTTTTTGAGACAGGGTCTCACTGTGCAGTTCAGGCTCTCCTGGAGCTCACTTTGTAGCCCAGGCTGGTCTCCAACTCCCAACAATCCTCCTGCTTCAGCCTCCTGAGTGCTGGGATTACAGGCGTGAGCCACCATGCCCGGCTCAACCATGCCTAGTTTCTGAAGAAAGTTCTTGCTAGGAGGAAATTTTCTTTCTGTTCTGAAAACTTCCACTTCTCAGGAAACATTTCTAGAAATGTCTGTGGCATCCCTGGCTGTGGAGCTGAGGGCGTGTGCAGGCAAGAAGAGGAGAGGCTCCCACATGAATGTGCGTGGGGCCGCCCCCCTTATCCAGTGCGCTTCAAAGCTGTAAGGGAGTTGGTATTTACAGATATGTGAGCTCATTTCTTTATCATTTTCAGTAGGTTGATTGTTCATGTGATTCAGAAATCACAGTGGCATAAAAAGGTACATTGAGAAATCTTGTTTCCATCTCTGTTGTCATCCCTTCTGTTTTTTCTACCTCCATAAAAACAGCATTTTTTAAAAAAGACAATCTTTCTCCGTGTTATCCAGGTTTTCCCAAAACTCCTAAGTTTAAAGTGGTACTCCTGCCTTGGCCTCCTGAATAAATTTTTAGTAGTGTGTTCTTCTGGCATTCTTCACTCAGATTGAAGCAAATATATTTTATTACCATATCATTACACAAGGGCATCCCACTGTATTCGTTTATTCTGAAGAGCTTTTTATATTAGTACATAAAGAACTATTTTTCTTTTTATAGCTATATAAATTTCAATAGTAAACAGTGTATTTAACTTAACCCCAAATAATGGGCATTTGGGCTGTTTCTAATCTATTGCTTTTAGAAGCAGAGATAACTAAATAACTTTGTTCACAGACCTCTAAGAATTTAGTGCACCTCTTATTTTAGTACAAATTCCTAGAAGTGGGAAGTAGGGTTCAGGGGTCAGAGAATAACTGCTTTGGTCCTATTAGTGAATTCCGCCTCATGGCCCCGTAAGGTCTCCAGCCGCGTGTTGCTAGGCTTGGAATTTTGTAACACCTTGTTATGTGAAAAATGGTACTTTAGTATTTATTTGTCCTGTTCAAAATTAAGCGAGGCATTTTTTCATATGTGTATGTTACTTTTCTCTATTTCTTTCGTGTCCTTTGATCCTGGTTTTTTTTGTTGTTGTTGTTGGCCTTTTTCTCCTTTTTAGGAGTCTTTGTATTAGTACAACTGTCCTGTTTCAAATATTTTTTTCTCAGGCTGGGAGTTTATTGTTTGACTTTCCTTATGTGTATACATAATATTTTCAATCAGGTTTGTTTTTGGTTTTTTTGTTTTTTTGTTTTTTTTTTTTTTTTTTTTGCTTTTATGAAGTCAAACTTCATTTTTCTTTCTTGGCTTCTAGATTAACCAGGTTCCTCAGAGGCAGGCAAGTAAGCTGTTATAGAAAATCTAGGTATGTGCACATATTCAGTGATATAATAATAAAATGCCAGTTTTCATTATCACTGTAGTTTATCTCATTCCCGTGTGCTCTGACCTGTGTTGGGACAAGCTGGACTCCCTATACCTGTGATCCTACATGCTACCCACTCAGATTGTATTTAGGGTAGCCCTTGCATGTGTCTCCTGTCTTTCCACTGTTTCATTCAGCCATCTCAGAACCTTTATTCCATTGTACGTGAGGTATCCATCTGAGGGTGTGGGCAGAAAAGCTGCTTTAGACTATGCTGCTGGAGCACATGGCCACCAGATTCAAACCCTTCACTGGAGATTTGAACTTGACCCTGAGCCAGCTGTTTGCCCCTGCAGATCACCAAGATGTGTACTCCTTTTATTCCCATTTTGGCTGCTTGCTAAGTGCAGTTTTCTCTCCTAACACTTTCCAAGACTCTTAACACTTGCAGAGGAATCTGAGGGTCCTTTTAGCCCAGTATTGGCGAGCCTGTTGCTACAAGTGCCACAGCTGCTGGCTGTTACATTTGAACGCTTTGAAGGATTCACCATTCCTGCTACAGCCTGAAGTAAGCTATAGCAAGCTGACAGATGCAGAAGTGTATTCTGGCAGCATCTTGTTTTTCATTTATGCGGTCTGCTTCATTGGTGCTATCTTCTTTCTATTATTTTTAAATTTTTCTCAAAGTGAAGATATTCTAAAAATGACTATAGATGATTTGCTACCCAGTAAGACACTGAAGACTCAGTTTCTGTAAAGCTGAGGTACTGTCTATCCTATATAAGCCTCAGGCAGTTTGTTTGGTGATCTTTTTGCCATTGTCCAGTTGGGTCAGTGTCAGAGCCAACTGGAGTTATTTAGTCACTGATATTAAAGAACGTCCTAGGCAGAAAAATCCCTCACATTCATTTGTCTGCACTCTTTAATGGCGGTCCTTCAGGATTTATTTTGTTTAACAAGACTTTAGAAGTTTGTATTGGGACCCTGATTTTCCCTTACAAGATTGTTTTGTAAGAGATTGTTTTGTTCACTTCTGGTTTCCTCTTTAAATAAAAAATGAGTAGTTTCAAATTTCAATAACCTTTAAAAGCCATAAAAGTGTTGAGTTTTAGATTTTTAGCAATCCAGTTTATAGAACTTTTCCTAAAATAATAAATATGAAAATATAACTTTACCTTTAAATCACAGAATTATAACTTAAACCTTATATTACTTTTACAGAAAAAGACACCATGGACGTATGGTGCAATGGTAAAAAGATGGAGACAGCGGTAGGTTGGTCTTTTGGTTATTCTTAGTGCCCTGTGTGTAAGTTGCCATTGAATATAATTAATGTTCATTCCAAAGCTTTATAATTAACCAAAGGTAGAAACAAAACATAAATTAAGTATTCCTGACTTCAGATCGCCAGACCTTGCCCAGAGGGTTCTGGGGCAGTGACAGTTTGGAAACCACCTGAGTTCTGAACTGGCCCCAGCCTTCTCCTTGCCTAGGCCAGCATCCTTTGTGTTTATCTATATGAACATATGAAGTAATGCTTCATACCACTGGTTCTTAAATTTGTATCAATGGACAACAGCTAGGATCTTGTTAAAACGAAAAAGACAAAAAAAAAATGTAAATTGCAGCATTTTCCTCAATGCTGTCAGTGTTGTTGGCCCACCAGTTACACTCAGAATAGGAAGGCCCCGTAGCACATTCCTAAAACAGATACACTTTTCTAAAAGCTGGCTTTAAAAAAAAAAGTACACACAAAACCAGATATTAGGAAAAGCAGAAGGGAAGGGCACTGTCACAAACCCCAGAAGACAAGTCGTCCTGTGGCCCCATTGGAATAGCTGCAGTCACCACAGACACAGCCTGGGACCTGCTGTGTGCCTTGTGCCCACCAAGTGGTCTTCTTTTCCCACCTTGGAATTCTCTGGATAAAGAGTCAGCACTTTTGAATCACATTTCCTCCCACTTGGAAGGAATTTTCCATTATAAATGTAGAGAATGTTGTTTTATGGTGTGAAGAATGTGGGTCTAGGGCTGGGGATGTAGCTTAATGGTAATATGTTAGTCTAGCCTACACAAACCTCTGGGTTCAATCCCTAGCACTGGGAGGGAAAAAAAAAACCCATGGTTTAAAGGTAAAACAGAATGATCATCCACAGTGTCTGTTCCGTAGTAACTGATAGAAAAGTACACTGCTTGGAAAATAGCTCTGTGTAACCCCACTGCCCCCTCATTGTAACTACAATCTAGTTGCAGGGGAGACTGGGCAGCTCAGTGCTCAGGCAGCTTTCCCTACCCAGTCTACACCTGTGCACCATACTGCTCTTGCTGCTGGTGAGTTGCAGCTTACTTTGGCCTTTTTCTGGTCATCTCAACATATCAAGGCCAAATTACGAATTTGGCAAATTGCCCAGAAGTGACTTACAGAACTGTATTACTTCACCCTGCCCTGCTCTCCAAAGCCTTTTTATTCAAAGCCCAGTATAAAAGAGGGGGATTATGCTGCATCCAGGAAAGTGTGTGCTGACGGCTCAGCATACCATGCTGGCTGAAAGAGCCACGGGCCACTGCTCATGTCCCTGTTGTTCCCTGTGCTTTCATCTCCTAAATAGTGTTAGCTAAGGAGCCTTGTTCTGTCTGCTGTGGACATCGTGATGCTCATAGTCAAGTATTAAATCTAGCTGTGATGTCTGCTGACTGGTATAACTCATTTTTAGCCTCTAATCCTCTCCTACCTTCACTGTACTGCTTTTTGCTCACTTTTTACTCTAGATCAGTGCTTTTCAATAGAAATGTAACAGCTGCTACAGTTATCAGCCTCATGTGTAATTGTTCTTCATTAGTCACAGTAAAAAAATTTTAAGTGAATTAATTTAAATAATATACTTGATTTAAATCAATATACATAAATATAATTTAATATATATTCAACAGGTTATTCTAATAACTTTTTCATACTGAGTCTTTAAAATTCAGTATATATTTTAAACAGTGTATTTCATTTTAGACTAGTCACATTACTGGTCTCTGGTTTTATGTGTGTATATTTTATTAGAAACCATGTATACTCTGAGAAATCAAATATACACATTGGTTAAGAATACTCCATACCCTTCTGACTATAAATGGAGTAACAATAGTACAGTGTTTCTATAGAGTTACTGTAAGGATGCAGTGAAATTATGCATATACACTATTCTTGGTATAAGTAACGAGAAATGTTTCATGTTCATTTTTACTTTTGAAACACAGTCTGTGTTATAGATGTACAGTCACATGTCCATTCCCTCCCCCCAAAATTAAAATTCTTAAGAATTATAGGGATGATAAAAAGAAAATTTCAGTTCATAGCAGAAATGTAAAAGCACCCAAATACAAGCATTAGTCTTTAATGTTGCAAACTTGATACTTCACTTAATATATTACATCACCTATGCCATTGTGTGTGTGTGTGTGTGTGTGTGTGTGTGTGTGTGTGTGCAGCTTTAGGGATTGAACCTGGGCCTTGTCTGCCTTAAGCAAGTGCTGTGCCACTGAAATGTATCCATAGCTCTACCACTACTTTCAGATGGTGTTAATGCCGTAGGAAAAAAGAAATATTCCTGGAACACTAATCCCTTCTTTTGTTGTCTTAGGGTGAGTTTGTAGATGATGGGACTGAAACACACTTCAGTATTGGGAACCATGACTGTTACATAAAGGCTGTCAGTAGCGGGAAGCGGAAAGAAGGGATTATTCATACTCTCATTGTGGATAACAGAGAAATCCCAGAGATTCTTAAATGACTTCATGTTAGTGGATTTTCATCTTAAGAAATAAAGATCAGAACTTTTTAATTACTGTGGCAATTAAATGTTTCAACATGTACCTGTCAGTACACTTAATCTACAAAGTTTTTATTTTTTAGTTACTTGAAACTAATAATCCAAGGGTTAGAAAAAACAAAACTATGTATAACATAAAAGTTACAGCTTATTAAGACAATGTGAAATATTTAAAATCAAGTAGAAAATAAGATATTGACCAAATTCATGTCACACCTGTCACATGTCACATGTCACACATGTCACTAATACTTTACTATAATAAACAGTACAAAATAAATTCAAATCAGTGCTGACTGATTTTTTTCTGCAAATGGATGTCTTTGTAGATATATATATGTGTGTGTGTGTATGTATATATGTAATTATATACAGTTGTAAATGTATGTGATTATATATATATTTTTTCAATATTGGAGAGTGAACCTAAGAGCTTCACAATGAACATATCCCTAACCCCTTTTTAAAGTTTTTATTTTAAAGCGAATACAACCAAAAAAAAAAAAAAAAAACCCGGAATAAAGCTAATCAGAACAAAACAGTAAGAGTGATACAACACTTCAAAACAAGATAATAGGAAATCAGCAATGGCTACCAGGTCTCTTGTTTTCTTCAAAATAGTGGTCCATACCATCAGACATAATAAATCAAGCAAGGGGCCAGGGATATAGCTGAGTTGCATAAGCACCTGCCTGGCAAGTGTAAGGTCCTAAGTTTGATTCCTGGTACCAAATAAATAAATAAAATCAAAACAAAACAATAAAACCAAAAGAATGAAAGCATATTTTATAGGGAATGAAACCTAACAATAAAGCCAATCAAAACAAAACAGTGAAAATCATACAGGATTTCAAAACAGGATTTGAAACAGGATTTCAAAAAAGAAATCAACAATGGCTACCATATTGCCTTTTGTTATCTTCAAAATTGCTGTGCATACCATCAGATATAATAAAATCAAAACAACAGAATAAAACCAATCAAAATAGAACACTGAATAAAAAAACCAAAATGGAACAACACAAAACAATAGGCTGGGAATTTAGCTCCGTAGTTTAAGCGCCTGCCTAGCAAGCATGAGGTTGTGAGTTCAATCCCTGGTACCAACCAAACAAAACAAAACAATATTGGAATTCAAAAAATAAGACAGAAGGAAATCCCCTGTATTTGCTATATTGCATGCTCTTATCCTCTTAACTGACCTTAGGCCTAAGGTGCTTAACCTCCATGAAGAAAATTCTCCATTTTCTAGACTTGCTGTATCCAATATGGTCATCATTAGTACATGACTATTCAGTTAATAAAATTGAAATGTAAAGTCCTACTCCCCAGTCACACTAGCCACATACAGAGTGCTCAACAGTCACATATGGTAGTGGCTGACCTCTTGGACAGGGCAGCTATACACCACTTCATCATCACACCGAGCTCGGCTGTACAACACTGGTCTACACACTGCCTCAGATCCAGGGAACTGTTTAGTAACAGACTAGGCAGGATTGAAATCCAGATTGTCCTGACACTTAAGATTCATACCCATTACAACTATTTTTCCCACATTAACATAATCTCCAAGAGATTTTGGGGGCAGAACAGAGGCAGAGCCAGATTCTAACTCTAGGACAGGAGCCAAGAGCAAGAGACTAAGTAATAAAAGACTCTTGGTGGCCTTGGCCAGGCAGGCAGCACACGTGGTGGACACAGGAGCATATTAAAGCTGCCGATTGCTTCCTCTAATGTCTTTTTATGTTGATTACTTCACAACCGGCAACTCAGTAAAAGTTTACAAAAATAACCCCTAACTGCTCTTCTTACTTCTCCCCATACCCAGTTTTACTACCCTGGAAAATTGGGATAACACAAATGATACTGTAAAACTTACAAACTCTCATTTGGGTTTGTTTTCAGGTGTATAGGTTTTATGGTTTGTTTTTAATTTTTCTTGAGAAAAGAGCTTCTTTTAAGGTCCATATTTATCTAGTACAAATAAATATCTTGCGTCATGTTCTAAAACACTGCAATTTATGAAGGCACTTTACTTTAAACTGTAGTTACTTTTGGTAAAAACCTGTGGTTCTCCTCAGTCTCATGTACCAAGGCAAAGACACGCTCAGGGACTATTTGATGAGGCCTTCTCAAAGAAAAAATTCTGGGGAGGTCATTTTCCTTTTAAAATTAGTGAATCTTGTTTTGGTTTTCAAAATTCAAAGCATGAGAATGTTGAAGAAGAGAGCTTTGCTCTAAAGTTTGATGAACGTTAAGTTCTTGAGTCTTGGTTTGCTCACGTTACAAATTTAGGCTATTACTTGTTTAGATGTTTTAGTTGTTTAATGAGATATTTTGACAAGGAAACCAATAACAACAACAACAAAAGAAAGAATATTGACTTGTTACTACCTGAGCTGCAGAAGATACTCTCTTACACACATGCTTAAATGGTAAAAATTGCT